AAACATGTTGTCGATGATTCACGTATTCTGTCCACAAGTGCACCGCACGAAGGTTCATCATACCTTAGGTCTATTTTCATTGTCTTGTTTTGTTGTGTTTTGTTTTATTTACACTAAAAATATGTTGTGTGTGTGTTTTAAGTGCATACAGTAGATATTGGCTATATGAAAACCTAATATGAACAATTTTTAATTTAATAATAATTCACTAGTCGTCGGGAATCTGCTCTTGTAGTGCTTCTGCCATAAAGTGGGAGGTGTTTATAAACGCCACCATGTCGGATTACAACAAAGTCTTAGAACCAAACCCAAAACGCGGAACAAATTTAGATAATAATTTTAATACAAAAATGGGTTATATGGGTACTACCCCTTAAAGGTAGTATTATTAATTTTTGGGAGGGAGATTCGTTACCATACACGGCTAAAAACTACATGGAATTTGATTGAAAACGCACTCAAGAACTCCAAAATCCCGAAAATTGGAGGGGCTCCCGAAAAAAATGGACTTAAATTTTTAATTTTTAGTGGAACGATTTGCTACCCAATAAGAACTCAAAGTATTAAATTACAACCAATTCGGTGGAAAAATACCACCGAAATCCACAAAATACCGAACATTTGGGGGTCTCGTTATATGGGGACTACCAGAAAAAGTGGATCTATATTTATAATTTTTGTGAAGAGATTTGATACCCAATAAAAACCCAATGTAACAAATTTCAGCGAATTCGGTTGAAAAATGCGCTCAAGTACCCTAAAATCTGGGGGTACCCTTATATGGCGGCTACCCGAATAAATGGACCTATATTTAAATTTTTTAGTGGGGAGATTTGCTACCCAATAAGAACTCAAAGTATTAAATTACAGCCAATTCGGTGGAAAAATACCACCGAAATCCACAAAATACCGAACATTTGGGGGTCCCGTTATATGGGGACTACCAGAAAAAGTGGATCTATATATATAATTTTTTGTGAAGAGATTTGATACCCAATTAAAACGCAATGTAACAAATTTCAGCGAATTCGGTTGTAAAATGCGCTCAAGTACCCTAAAATCTGGGGGTACCCTTATATGGCGGCTACCCGAATAAATGGACCTATATTTATAATTTTTAGTGGGGAGAACTCAAAGTACCAAATTACAGTCAACTCCGTGAAAAACTACTACCAAAAAAAGTGGACCTATTTTTATAATTTTAGTGGAAAAAATTGGCACCCAATAAGAACCCGAATTTTGGTTGATAAACCCGCTCAATAACTCCAAAATACCCTTAGGCATAGCTCCCATATAAGGGTACCCTTATATGGGAGCTATGCCTAAACGCAGACCGGTTTAGCCCATCATCGAACTTGACCTGTCTGCAGACAAAAGACAAAATTTTGGCGATCTATCTCAATTCGTTTAGACGCAGACGGACATGCATAGATGGTCATAAAATAGGGTCTGAACTGATTATTTCGATGAGTTACAAATCGAAAAACAAAACTAATATATCCTCCATACTATGGTGGAAGGTATAAAAACGGTACTGCACCATTTTACAAAGTGACTGTAATTTTCATTGTTTGCAAATGGAGTAAATTTTGGTCTATGTTATGACCTATTTGAGGATTACGACACATTTTATTTAGTTTGATGATTCTAAGCCCATTTTCCAAACGAAGTAGATTTTATGTATACTACATTCCAGGTTTAGGCAAATCTGTACCTACATTTGGTCGGACATTTACTATGTACGGAGCTAACAACCAAGTCTGAGACGTAAAATGGAATGTTTGTAATTTTTTCACATAAATGTTTACCAACCAGTCCTCTAGAGCGAGCAGAAAAACGGACACAATTGAAGTATTTGATTCTATTAATAACCAAATGTTACAAAAATATATAGGCGTCGCCTTTGGATAGTACCGAATAAACATGAAAAATTTCCATAATTTCGGTCTGTTCTTTGTATACAAATTATAACGGACAGATGATCGGACACATATAGGCAGATCGATTCATATACTCGAGATATGATATGATTGGGGATTAATACCAGGGATGGTCCATATGACGAATTTTTAGGTTTTCGACTGTCAAAAAGGTGTAAACGTCGAAAACGTCATATACCTGTATAAAATATAGTAAATGTAGAAAACGTCATTTATTCGAATATTTTTACCATATACCGTTATTTTCAAAAATACATACTATTTTTAAATATATATGTCTGTTCATTACTAGAACTAATACAAAATTTTAAACTTTATGGAGAAAACATTTTTGAAATTTTATATGGATTTCAGTAAAGCATACGTAATTTCCAAATTCATTAATGGAAATAGGTATTTTGTCAAAAACCTAATGGTTTTGGGTGGGTTTCCGACGTATGTAATATACGTCGAAAATGTATGTCATTTACGTCACTGTTTCTGACGGACCATCTCTGATTAATACCAATATTTTGTAGTGTTGCAAAACGTATTATAACCTTACAACATAGTTGTGTAGGGTCAAAATGTTTGCACATGCGTCTTCCTATGCATAAGTCGATACACTACGCAAACTGGCGTCTCTATTGATCACATGTTGGGTCTTAAGGGATACCCCATTCTCGGTTTCTTTATTTCCTTATTGCGTTAATAATTGTACTTCATACCCGAGCCAGACATGTAGGGGAGACTGGGGCACCTTCGGCAATCGCGTTTTCGATATGAAGCTCTCACCGTACATCACTAGTTTCGATACATAGGTATCGAATATCGAAATAAATAACTGACACAAATTATAATATTATTATTACAATATTACAATTTTAAATTATTACAATTACAATATTATTAAAAAGTTGTTAACTACGATGTGTATTATTATAAAAATATAAAAAATATATTGTTTTTACAAAACAGATCGAAAAAAAATGAAAAAAAAAACTATAAAAAGTACATTCGGGGTACATTCGGCATTTTAAAGTGGGGCACATTCGGCCATATACAGATTGTGCAATATTATTTCCTTAAAATGTTTTTGAGTTTGTCTTTGAAACTAATCCTTTAATATGGCTCGAAATTGCATATATAAGATCAAACGTGCTTGTATTGACGAAAATGCGATAGAAAACCCCTATTTCTGATGGTGTGTGCGACCTTGAGATGTAAACGCCCGTCGCTAGAAAATAAAGCCCAATAATTCAAACAATGTGTGACGTATTAAATAGAGCCTTTTGGAGGATCAGAATTTCAACCAGACTGATAGCGATGACAATAGCGCCGAATGTGCCCCATCAAATGCCGAAGCTACCCCGGGTTGGGGCACATTCGGCGAATTTGACTTTTTTTACATAACTGTAAAATTTGTTAACTAATACTATTTATACCCTACACAACTATGTTGTCAGGGTATTATAGCTTTGTGCAGCCCCAAAAGTTTGTAACGCCGCGAAATATTGGTCCTAGACCCACCTTTAAGTATACCGATCGTCATATCTCGACTAGCTGAGTCCATCTAGACATGTGTGTCCGTCCGTCCGTCTGTCCATTATAATTTGTAAACACGATACAGGCCACAGTTATGGACCAATCTTCACGAAATTTTGCATGTAGGATGGGTTCTGGCCAATGAAGACCCCTATTGTTTTTGGAAAAGATCGGTTAATATTTAGGGGATGAAATGGACCAAATACTAAATTTTTGTCAGTTTTTCTGGTCGCTCCAGAGGCCGCAATTATGGCCCAAACACCGCGAATTTTTGCATGGAGAAGGGGATCAGGTCAGAGAATAAGCGTACATGTTTTGATAAAGATCGGTCAATATTTAGCGGGTCAAATGGACCCTGACTTTTGTGTGAAAAATGACAAAATTTGTATTCTATGGCATATATATTTACTCCTGGAGGATGTAGACCCTAGGAGTTGATAACATATCCAAGAGGAGTGGTTGACCTTTAAATTGATACCAAATATAGTGATGTATCTACTCAGATGTGGGAGTTACAGTCAAATATTTACATGTGCTTACGTATTCAGATATTATTTAGTAATTCATTACCATATTAAATGAAATTTTTCATGAAGTTCCAGTTATGGTCAAGAACAACGCCTACAATTTTCGGTGATGATCAGATTAACATTTTGGGATGAAATGGACCGAAAACATAATTTTTTGTGTGTTTTCGAGTAGAGTATAATCCGAAAATCACAACACACCCACCGTGAAGGTAATGTAGACAAGTAATTAGAAGGACTGTACAAGAGGGGGCTGTACAAGAGGGGGCAAATATCAGGAAATATTACTCAGACTCGGAATAAACATCCTCAGAAAGTTAGAGTTCGTGGTAGTTGTGTAGGGTATCGTATGGTCGGCCCCGTCCGACTATACTGCTCCGCTCACTGGTTTTTTATATCTTTTTGGTACTATTTTTTATAATTAAGTGTCAGATGACAATAATCAGCCATAAAGTTGTTATATATGTTGAATAGGTACTGAGATATAGAGCTCTAAAAAAAGTGCCGAAGGTGCCCCAGTCTCCCCTACTCTTTCGAATTCCGTTAGAATTGTTAAAATTCCATGATCGGAAATTATGCCCGCCGTCGAAAAGCAAAACTTTTCGTTAATTACAAAAACAACAACAAAAATTAATTAATAATTCAAGTATTTATACAAAAAGTTACAAGGCTCCAATCTAATGCACATCCATTTGCAAGTCGGTTGAATTTATAAAAAATCGAATAACATAATTTGCACCAAATCGGGCGAAAAAATATATACAACCAATACATCTAAATCTAAAACAACAATTCTCAGCCAATTAATGAACCGTACCAGTAAAGAATTGCCAAGTTCACTTTTAGAAGGAGTTGTCTAGGGAATCGATTAATCAACTCCATCTCACTAAAGACTCTGTTTGATAAAGTGTACCTCTACAACTGATATCTGCTGTAATAGCCTGTATTTGGAATCAATATTCCATTATAAAAATATTCTCATAATTATCTTGTTCTTCATTACTTTCAGTGCTCACTTGCCTGCACGTGCAACCCGTTTATTGAATCGTTCTCGTATGCAGCAACACTGTACCCTGAACAACGATAACGATTCCGACAGCACAAGATCTCCACTAAGCACACGACGTCACCACAATACGGCCACATCGTCGCGCAATTCCACAGCATCATCGGTGACCAACAACTACAACAATACCGGCAACAATAGCAGTGTTAACAATACAGCCAATTCATCGCTGCAGCGAAGACATCAGCAACAGCCGCATCATCATCAGAATCACCAGCCAACATCGTCATCATCGGCCGCCTACCATCAGCATCAACGTGACACGCACAGTTCATCGGACGATCTCATGTTGTATGATAAATCATTTAGGAATGCTATGATCCAAGATGTGTTGCAGTTCAAGAAGCAATTGTTACGTTTGCGTAAAATACTGCAGGAGGTATGTTATGTAGTGGATTCCCGTGGGAATGGAACAAATTGTTTCAGAATTGTTTTTTTTTCGTTTTCTTATACTTTGTGTTTTTTTACATTTTTTTTATAATAATTGCTTCTTTTGTTTATATTGTTTATATGTACTTATATGGTTTACTTGGTAACGCACATTATGATCGCATCAAATTCAAAAAACGAACAAAACAAAAATCTGCACAAACGCACACTCACGAATATTTCAACATCCTGCATTTCATATTTGCTGTATATGTTTACGTTTTCTTCTGGATCTTATGTTCTTCTTTATTTTGATATTTCAAGAATGAAAATTGTTTGACGAGGGTAGGTCTATCAGATATTATTAAAAAAAAAAAAATCATTTGAATTCATTCCATGTTAAAGCTTTTCAAAATTAATTTTATAAGCAAGGTTTTATAAAATGACATTGGGTTCAGGTTCGAAAATTGGTCAACATTTTTAAATGGGTTACTTTGAACTGAGGTATTTAAGGAACAATTTATCCGAAGATGTTCAGTAGGAATTAATCGAATATTAGACTGAATCGGTGTCTATACTAAAAACCTATATCTTTGCCAAATTTAATCAGATTCGGTTGAAATTTGATTCGGGTCGGATTTAAACAACATTTAAAAGCGGTCGACATCCTTATTTGGATCAGAAGTTATAGATTCAATTCGGACCTTAACAATACCTAAAATCAACTGAGAAAATTAAATACCAAATAACCAACACTTTAATTGGAAAATCCGCCTAGAAACTTCAAGACACCTAAAATGTTGCCGAGCCTTTATATTGTGGACCTATATTGAATATTATTGGTGATTAGGTTTTTTTGCGGAGGGCATAACCACTGAAAATCCCAAATTACCGACTCTTAGGAATATTCAGCTGGGATATTCAATATACATTTATATTGTGGCTAGGTTAAGGCTTGGGACTATATTGAATATACCAAATGGTTTAGTATCACCAAAATATGTGAGGAGAAATCATTTTATGGTGGATATTTGTACGGACATTAACTATTTGCTGAGCTAACTCCCAAGTCAGGGACGTAAACTGAAATTTTTGCAATTTTTCACACAAAAGTCTAGGATTATTTGACCCGATTTAATGTTTACCGACTAGAAAACCAGATTATAGTTTTTGGTATATTTAATTTCCAATAAATGTGTGCTTATGAGTATCTTTAGTACACATAAGAACACATTTATGAAAACTCTTTTATTGTACAAATTCAAAAATGATCAGATATATGAGCGAATACCTAGAGTCTCAACATTTTACAAATTTTCAAGACTACCTCCATATATCAATCGTACTTCTAATTTCACTAAATTTAGTACCATAATAAAGTACCAAAAACCCTTTGGCACATCTTTTTTACTCTCCGTCAGTGTCACACATTCCAAATTTCAGAATTTCTACCTCTTCTCGTGTGTGCCATATTTAGGACATTTCATATTACGTATTTATTTGATAATTTTCGTACTTTTAAGTTCGAATTTCTAACCCCACCTCAATCCTGTAATCCAACAATAATTTTGTTTCCAAATTTCAGGATCTCAGCCCTATCCCTTTACACAGTTCCAAATGTACCGTATTTTGTACCATTTAGTACTTTTCGTTCGGTACGAATCAACCCTACTTTCCAAAAATATTTTCAATTCCAAATTTCAGGATTCCAACTCTATCCTATCGCCCAAATGCAAATTGTACCATATTTAGTACCATTTAACACCATCCGTACCCTATAAGTACTAATTTTCTAAACTAACTCAACCATGAAAAGCTTTTTGTACCCCAGCTCTACGCTTCACACAAATTCAAATTGTTCCATATTGTACCATATTTGAAGGGCCTAGTCGTGGTGTCCAAACTAAGTGCCTCCAATTTTTTTTTTTTTTTTTTTTGAAATATAAAACAACCAGTGAGCGGAGCAGTATAGTCGGACGGGGCCGACCATACGATACCCTACACAACTTCCATGAAAATCTCACTTTCGGTGGTTCTATATTCTGAGATTGGGCAATATTTCGCGATATTTGCATACTTTTGACTGGCTTGAGGTCAGCAAATGTTACTAATAATCAGTACAGGCCCTCTAATTACTTGTCCAGATTCTCTTCACCGTGGGTTGTGTTGTGATGTTCGGCTTTCGACTCGAAAAAGTACAAATAATTAAGTTTTCGGTCTACTCCATCCGAAAAATTATTATCTGATCATCACCTAACATTTTAGGCGTTGTCCTTCACCATAACTGGAACCTCATGGAAAATTTCAAAGTGATCAGCGCTATATTTCCGTCCTCCAGTGTGGTTATAGGTTACTAAATAATATATGAATACATAAGCACCTGAAAATATTTAAGTGTAACTCCCGCATCCGAGTACCTACGACAATATAATTGGTATCAATTTAAAGGTCAACCACCTTGGATATACTATCAACTTCTCGGATCTATGTCCTTCAGTGGTAAATATAAACGCTATAGAATACTAATTTTGTAATTTTTCACACAAAAGTTAGGGTCCATTTGACCCGTTGAATATTGACCGATCTTTATCAAATCAGGCATGCTTATTCTTTGGCCCGATCCCCTTCTCCATGCAAAAATTCGTGTTTGGTGTTTGGGCCATAATTGCGGTCTCTATAGCTACCAGAAAAACCGAAAAAAATAAAGTTTTTGGTCCATTTCATCCCCTAAATATTAACCGATCTTTTCAAAAAACAATAGGGGTCTTCATTGGCCAGAACCCATCCTACATGCAAAATTTCGTGAAGATTGAAGATTAACTGTGGCCAGTATCGTGTTTACAAATTATAATGGACAGACGGACGGACACACATGTCTAGATGGACTCAGCTAGTCGAGATATGACGATCGGTATACTTAAAGGTGGGTCTAGGACCAATATTTCGCGTCGTTGCAAACAGTTGGGGCTGCACAAAGCTATAATACCCTGACAACATAGTTGTGTAGGGTATACAAATTATCCCAATACTTGACAATGTTTTGTCATAAAAAGCTCGGAGTGATAGAACATAACATTGTCTTCACTTCTTACAGGAAGATTTCGGAACCAGCAGGGATTTAAGAAAGAAGAATAAAACCTTCAAAATAGTTAAAAATGAATTTCTACATTTCTGGATTTTAAAGGGGAGAATTAATTTTGGAACCCGGTGTTAACATGGAATGAAAATTTATTTTATTATAATTCCTCTTATTATTATATATGATTTCTTTTTTATTTACGTTAAATTATGATTATATACTTGCCAAATCCAAATTTATCTTTCAATAAACCCATGTACATATCTACCTTATTATAATTATCGAAATAACTAATATTTACAGACCGAAACTCTCAATCCATTCGAAAACGATAATGGACAACTATTTACATCCTGTGGCTTGGACAGCAAATTGTTAGACGACATCGATTTGGCCAGCCTAACGTCATCGACCACAGATGATCCGGTACAGGAACTTTCGGATCTACGAAGACAGGTGGTTTACCTTCAGGTATTTGCACGTTATTTGGTATTTAGTTTTTTGTTGCATTATTTTGACTGCCAACACCTTAAGTTTGTGTGTTTGTCCATTTACTTGTGAACATTAATATGTATAAATATTCCAAGAAACAAAAAAAAAAAAAAAAATCAAAAAAATGAAGCCAATCAATATTTATCAAATCAAACCAAGGTTAGTTTTCTATAAAAGAAATCTTTAGTTGCTGTTACAATGTTCTATGTTTTGTTTAATTCCCTGAGAAAGGTAACATTTCGTATATATTTCTAGAATAATAATATCGAATCGATTGATGCAAATAATCGGAGAACATTGATATTGTATTTTGAAAATTAGGAAATCAAAATTACAAAACAAATTAAAAAAAAAACAAATTTGGAATGTAGTATTAAACTAGCATGTTCCCTATACTTATATATCTACTATTAATTTTTTGACATATTTTAAAATAATTATTTTCTTGATTCTATGTTATATGGCGCCTTAGAATTACTTTTTTTCTCGCTTCTTATTTTATACGTTAATTTTTAAAATGAAGTTTATAGACAAATACATACATACATATTACTAGTTTACACCATTTCAACATTATACATAGAACATAAAAACAAATTATGTGAGATGATATTGAGGAGAACTGATAAAACAAATATAATTCTGCAATTGACTGCAAAAAAAAAATAAATATAGAATGGAAAATATGTGAGAAGTGGTTGCGCTATATGTGATTGATACGGAACTTAAATTCGTACATGCCCCCCTAAGCTAGCCACAATCAATGTGATTCTAATAGGATTACGAAATTTCTATTTGGTTTTTTCGAGAAGAAATGGATAGAAATGGTTTTTTAGTGTAGACCACTGAGAACCAGGGATGGAAAATTCAGTACAATAGTACTTTTTTATGTACCTTTTTACCCAAAAAAAGTACCGTAGTGCCCCCGTGACCATTTCAGTACCATTCCAATCCTCCATTAAACAATGATATATATATATATATATATATATTGGATTAGAATTTGTTATGAATTTGACCGACAGAAATATTGCAGATAAAAATACTGATGTGATTGCAATTTTTTTCTTAAAAAATGAATGGGTTCACGACTGATAACTGTTCAGTTATGATTATAATTACAAACATTAAATTAATTTATCAGTTCCAATCTTTTTTAACCGGATATGTTTGTCAGATACTCAATTTATCTTGAATATCGATCTTTATGAAACTGAATATTTTTTTTATTTTCTTAAAAAAAAGTACTCTTTCATTAAAAAAAAGTACTCTTTTGGTACCTTTTCACATTTTTCATTTTCCATCCCTGCAGAGGACCAATAAATATTTTTTTCTCGAGTTATCCTACACCATCGTTAACTATAGAATAGTTCTACGACTTTTAATGATTTATAACGGAAATTCGTTCACAAATTGAGAGCTTTTCCGTTTTCAAACTACTTTCTATAAAATTCATGCTAAGAACCATTGCAAATAAATGTGATGAATAAATAAAAATTGAGTGATTTAATTCTTAAACGTTATAGAATTTGAACTATCAGGATTAAAAAATCACATCATCATTTTGTTTTAATATGCATACACTTATTTTCAAATTTCACTTTATTAAAGTGTTAAAAAAAGTACAATAACCCTGAACATACTGTAAAAAAATATCAATATTAAATATCAGACAATTCGGTTCAAAACGTGTTCAAAATAGAGAGATTTTGGAGGTACCGTTATATGGGGGATATAGCTATATAACCTATTTATTGGATTGAACCCCGCCTGATTTTAGCTTTTTACGTGCTGAATCTACTGAGACCAGCCGTGTTGTACTTTGAAAGGAGAAACATCTGCAAATACACAATTTGAGAATTCCGCGTGTATAATCGCTTTATTTTGTATATAAATATAAATATTTATAAACCATATTCCTGATAACAATTTTATTCAAAATAGATTGGGGAGGCATATACACGGTTCTTGATGGATATGAGCATGTGAGATTTAAAAGCTTTCAAAATATTCACCCTTTGTAGGGGTGGAGCTAGAGGGAGTGGACCGATAAGTCCCATCTTGCAACATTATACAGGTTTCGATAAAATATTAGGTTTTGTAGAGTTTAGTTGAAATCGGATAGTCAGTTCGCATTACCATTTTGTGGGGTAGCTTGATTTAAGTTTGGAAGAAATTTTACGATGTGCAAATTTAGAAGGAAATCGGTTACTCCCTTCGAGAGTTACATCAGCCAGCCTGACAGACTCGCAGACGGACGGGCAGATATTTGTAAATGAGTCCAATTTGTCTGAAACGGATTTGGTCCAAAGAACCATGGAGTATAAAACCAATATTTCGATGAGCCACATTTTTGCCGTAGCAAAGTATATATACCCTCATTAGTCGTAAGGTGGAGATTATAATAAAAACATTTTTTCTTAATCTATGCATCAAAAATTATAGATGTACTCTCAAAAATTCGAGTACTCAATATATTTTGAAATTCAATTGCAGTTGCACTAAACAAATTAGTAATTTTTTAAAAATGTATGTATTTTTTTCTTAATGATGATACAAAAAATCCAATATCTGTATAAAATTAAAAAAATCAATCCTCATTTCGGGGGGCCGGCCCACCTCGCTACGTCGGTGGGGATAAGAGTTACAAGTTGATTCATTTACAAATAATACATTTCTTTTTTCAAATGTTGAAAAATTCACCTTCAAACAAATCGATTTTTGAATATATTTTTGAATACATTACACACACATTTTGAATATGAACAAACCACAGTATGAGAAAATTGTAGAAATCACATGTACCATGGGTAGAACCCACACAAGACTACCAATATTCGGTACCTAACTTCAACCTAATTTACGTTAATGTTTTAAGGCCGCACCTATATAACGGTTCGGTATTTTATGGAGATTCGGGACGTTTGGATATCCATTGTGCAAAAAAATTCCTACAAAAATATCGATATTGGCAGAATGTTTAGAACCAATAACCAAATTGTCTTTTATGTAATATTTTAGATTTTTATTGGGTAGATTTTATTTGGTCCAAGCTTCATGTTGTCCCCATACAGCGGTAATTCCACGTTTTCAATAAAATTGACTGTATTTTGGTAAAGTCGAGTGCGCTTATAACGAACAGCGGTTATAGCGAATACATTTCCAGGTCTCAAAGTTTTAAGACACATTTTTCATACAAATCCTTACGATCTACTTATTCGGTCCCAACATTCAGATTTCATATATTTTAATTTGGTAATAACGAACTTGATACATATTTATCTACTAAAACCTATATTTTGCTTTACCTTGGATATAACGAACTAATTTGCTCGGTCCCTACGAGTTCGCTATAACCCTACTCGACTACACTTTGGTTTCACCACATCTCTGCACTAAAAATAATTAACTTTGACCCAAGTCGCTATTTGGAGAGTTTTGGACACGTTTTTTAACCGAATTTGCTGTATTTTCAAATAGTCCCCTCTTTTAGTTTTGTGTATGTTGAAGTTCCTATCTAAGTTTTGCAACCTTAGTGTCTACAATTTGGAACATTGGTAATGATCTTTTAGATTATTGTCATGTATGTGACCCCTACAAAAAGGGTTTTGTGAGGAAAAAACTTGCTCATAAAATATTGGTTACACGATGCCATCCTGAATACTTGCCCTTGCCATATAACTATTTTTAAGGCACGGAATTAATGTGAATATCCTAAAAAACAAATTTTTATTCTGAAGAAAGTAGAGTACTCATATATACAAATATATACACAAACACATTTAAGAAGTGTATAGTATAACATTATATAATAAATTAGTATAAATATAAATAATCATATGAAAAAAACATACACCTGCTCACCTTTAATGTTGTAAAATAAATATATATTTATATATACGTTTTTTTCTGATTTAATTTTACCAATTTCCTCTTTAAGTATTTAAAATGTCATTGAAATATTAGCAGTTAATTTGACGAACAAAAACATTTTTATCTTATTTTTGTTTGTGTTTTTTTCTACAAAAATAAATGTCCATTTTGCTGCCTGCCATATGTGGACTATGAAAACCAATAAAAATGGATGGACAAAAAACAGGGACAAGTTGATGATCGTGATCGTACAATACGTATGCAGAAAAATCTCATTGAACAATTAGAGGCGGAAAAACATAAAACAACTAATCCAACGTCTGTTGAAAACGCAAAGGAATGCGTTACCACGGCAACACAAACCGAAAGGGTATGTATAGCTATGCGATTGACTTTATTTTAATTAAAAAAAACATTTTCTTTACAGACTCGACCATTATCGATTGGCATGGAGGGTTTATCGAGGTAACATGAGTGATTTCTTCGTTTGTTTATTTCGAATCTTGAGTTGTATTATTATTATTTTATTTTATTTTTTTGTAATTTTACATGAATAGTGTTTATATGATTTGATTTTATGAGGTTTTAAGAAATGTATTAACAAGCTCTGAGGTTGTAAATATGTACGTGTTCTTTACTAAAGCCAATATCTAAGGAATTTTTATCATGCCTACGTATTGTTTGAAAATTCTTTAAAAATGTTTAATATTTGTAAATCCAATATTTAACTAAAGGAGTATTCAATTTCATCCACATTTTTTAAAAATAAGTACTATATCAAAACTTGGACCGGTATGTCCAATTTGCAATACCAAATATCCTAGGAGTAATAGCAATGTCAGCGCAAAGTTTCAAAGTTCTATATTAAATGTTGCGATATTACTATAACTACAATAAATCCTTAGAGGGAGTTTATAGGTCAACAAATCCTGGTACCTACCCAAAAAAGGCCAACTCTTTGTTTTCGGTGCAACAATGCATTTCTATTGCCTACAATCTTGTACATCTAACAACCGCTTTCACCTACAACGTTATAGGAATATTCCGATTGCATGTTACAACCTCAAAATGAGCTTGATATTGCAACAGTTATGTAGATACATCAAATTTTCCTTTATGCATTAATTTTCTTTAGTTTTTAAATTAGTTTACATTACGATATTTTTTATTTTAATAAATAAAATGTTAATACATATTTTCTATAATATTTTACCTAATCTATTTACTATGCCTTGCAAATAAGTTATAACTTGCTAACACTTATAAATTCTCTTTCCTATACTCTTTTTCGAAAACAAACCAAACAATCAATACAAATTTAATATAACAAACAAACAAACACAAAAACACACAGACTACAACAATTTGGAGAACAAAAGGTATTCTACTGTGATTTTTTCCTGGCTGTAATATTGTTATGTGCAATTAACTTTATTTGTTTACTACATCTAACCTATACTTGTACACACAATTGTCCCTCATGACTTAATTAAATTAAGAATAATAACAATAACATAATATTTATAACTAATATGTGATAGCTTTAATATTTATCTATGAGCAAAAAAACAACAAAAGGAAACACTTTATTAACAACAGGTGAAAGCGATATTATGATCGGCCGGTACGGATTTTGTATAGCCTTACCCAGATGGAATATTTAATTATTGTTAAATGCTGCTAACACTTCTACAATTCGTACCCTAGGAATTCGGTTTCGGAAACTCCTACTATAACTGCACGAAAACTAATAAATGCTACAAATTTAGTACCATTACCAGTTATGGTTAATAAATGAAGCTTCGGCCGTGAAATTGAAATTAGTATTGGGTTAGGTGTCTATGATTTTAATAATATGGGAGGTAAAAAGTACAAAATGGTACTAAATTTAGTACAACAAGTAGTGGGTGAGTTGTTGGACGTTGACACTTGTAGAGAAAGTTGTTAGTGTTTAGGTTAGAGGTAAGAAAACGACTACATTTGGTAGAATGTGAACAAATGTACATATGTGTGAGATTGAAATTTATTATGTGAGAGATACATGTAATTGTGAGTCAATTTCAATTAAAGTTAATACATATCATTCCATACTAAATTTCATACGCGCTTCAAAATTTCGTATCAGTCAGAGAAACGATGGTCATTGAAATGATTTCGGTCAAAAATAACGATATCAAGTAAAAGACAGAACTTTTTAAGAGACTTTGTATATCGTCTTTATAACCGATATGTTAAAAATGATGTCGTTATAAACGATTTTGACGGTATATCTGAATAAGAATCGATTAGCTAAATTTAGGACATTTCATTCATGACTCAAATGTATGGTCCAAATCTGAATTGATTTTGACAGAGCTTGATACACAATAGTCCAGGTACAAACATTGTACTCTGTGACGAAAGTGAACTAATATAAAATCGGCCGAAAAATATATGGAAGATATATCCATATCCAAACCGATTTTCAACAATTTTAATGGGGTTCATTCTTGGACCAAATAAATCACATTCACCAATCTTCATTTTATTAGGTTCATAACCAACCTATACATAATCAGACGGAGGGGCTTGCATACATTTCCATATGGTCCAAATCTGAATTGATTTTGACAGAGCTTGATACACAACAGCCGAGGTACAATCATTGTACTCTGTGACCAAAGTGAACTAATATAAAATCGGCCGAAAAATATATGGAAGATATATCCAAATCTGAACCGATTTCCAATAATTTCAGTGGGGTTCGTTCTTGGACCAAATAAATCACATACACCAATCTTCATTTTATTAGGTTCATAGCCAACCTATACATAATCAGACGGAGGAAATTTCCGTCGTCGAAAAAATCTCTGAAATTATTATTTAGGTTAATTTTTATAAGAATGAAAAGTAAGTTTGAGGGCACAATTCGTAGAATACAAATACGAAGGGATTTAAATAATTTGGACTGTATACAAAAATTGGTACTGTACACATTTTTCTCCTTTTCTTTATATTGAAAAGGGCACAACTTTACCAAAAAGTTCAATATTTAATTTTTTTGATATGTGTTGTCCAAAAACAGGTCTTGACATATGTAATCCAAAAAAATATAAATTTACTAGATGTGTATAAAATATCAAACGGCTTTTAAAGTAAAGCTCTAAAAAATTTTGTTGCCTGTGGGCAGTGTTGCTAAAACTTTGTGATAAAAAATGCCCAAAATTGGTCTACAACAATTCTAGAAAGTGCTAAAAGAATTAAAAAAGAGCCAAATAAAAGTGCTAACAATTTTATAAGGGCCGAACTCTGTATACCCTCCACCATAGAAATACTGAAAATTTTTTGAAATGAAAATATAGGGAACGTACATATAACTACAATTCTACCAATCGATTCTTGTAAACCAAATAGAAATTTCAGCAATTTCAATAGGGGTTTTCCCTAAATTCTCAAAACCCCAAAATGATGACATAGTAGGGTGAAACATGTGTATACAATATTGCAAATACTCCAATTTAGAGGGCAAATGTATAAGAGGCATACTAAAGCGGGACCGATATTGACAACATTGTGTTGGAAATAGCGAATATTGGTGTTATCATTATATAGGAGGTTATGCCTAATTAAGGGCCGATATAGATAAAGCTCCAAGCTAATAATTTATTTTTGAAAATTTGGTCTACAGAATATCCCCCATTCGATGGTGGAATACAGCTATTTGGGGATAACCCCAACACACAGAAAAATTTAGCTAAATATTTTAATATAAACAAGTGAAAAAGCGTTAAGTTCGGCCGGGCTGAACTTTGGATACCCTCCACCGTAGATATACTGACAGGTACTTAAAATGAAAATATAGGGAAAATAAAAAAAGTGAACCTATATCGACATTTCCACAAACCAGTTATGTAAAACACAATGTAAACTATAAAACAAATTTCAGAAATATTTAATGGACAATTATACCCTCAGCTTTATGGATAATGAGGCTGTATACACTTTTACACGGTTAAAATGGTTCTAGACCCCATGTTTCTTTGGACCAAATTTGTTGCAGAAAATTTTGATTTCATATAAACTTTGGCCATCTTATTATTTCTTCCAAACTTAGTTCAAGTTCGAAGATGGGGAATATCGGTCCACTCCTTCTGGTACCTCCCACACAGGGGCTAGGTCGAAATACGGGTTACAGTTCATACATAGTTCATTAGCGAACCTTACGTTCTAGTTTTTTATCTAGATATCCTCCGCAGGTGATATGATTACAACAGAGTCTTAGAACCAAACCCAAAACGCGGAACAAATTGCATAACTATTTTAATATAAATTGCATAACTATTTTAATATAAAAAAGGGGGTGCATATTAATAGTTTTTTGTAGGGAAATTTGTTACCATATTCGACTACAAAATACCAAATTTCACGGAATTCGGTTGAAAAACGTGTTCAAGGACCTCAAAATAGCGATAATTGGGGGTACCCTTATATGGGGGCTACAAGAAAAATTGGACCTGTATTTATAAATTTTGGTGGAGATATTTAGCACCCAATAAGAACCAAATGTACCAAATTTCTGCGAATTCGGTTGAAAAACGCGCTCAAGAACCCCAAAATACCGACATTTGGGGGGTACCCTTATATGTGGGCTACCAGAAAAAATTGACCTATATTTATGATTTTTAGTGGAGAGTTTTGCTACCCAATAAGAACTCAAAGTACTAAATTACAGCCAATTCGGTTGAAAACTACGATCAAAAGCCCCAAAATACTGAAAATTAGAGGGTACCGTTATATGGGGGGTACCAGAAAAAATGGACTTATATGTATAATTTTTTGTGGAGAAATTGGGTACCCAATAGCAACTCAATATACCAAATTTCAGCGAATTCGGTTGAAAAACGCGCTCAAGAACCCCAAAATATCGAAAATTGCAGGTACCCTTATATGGGGACTACTCGAAAAAATTGACCTCTATTTATAATTTTCTGTGGAGAAATTTGCTACCCAATAATAACTGAAATTACTAAATTACAGCCAATTCGGTGAAAAAATCCGGTCAAAACCCCCCAATAACAGGAAATTGGGAGGTACCCTTATACAGGAGCTACCAGAAAAAGTGGACCTATATTTATAATTTTTAGTGGGGAAATTTGGTACCCAATAAGAACCCAATGTACCAAATTTCAGCGAATTCGCTTCAAAACCGCGCTCAAGAACCCTAAAATACCGAAAATTGGGGGGTACCCTTATATGGGGGCTACCCGAAAAAAATTGACCCATATTTATAATTTTTAGTGGGGAAATTTGCTACCCAATAAGAACCCAATGTACCGAATTTCAGCGAATTCGGTTGAAAAACGCGCTCAAGAACCTCAAAATACCGAAAATTGGGGGTACTCTTATATGGGAAATGATTATTTCGATGAGTTACAAACGGAAAAACAAAATTAATATACCCTCCATACTATGGAGCTCAAAGGGTTAAATTCAAATCAATAGTGTCCAATTATTTAGAGTAGCTCCCACATAAAGGTATCTACTACCACTCAAAAAAATTGAAATTGATAGGCAGATTTGCTACCCAATTAAAATTACAGCCCATTTGTACCAAAATGTGCAATACCAAACATCCTAGATGTACTGGCAATATCTGCGAAAAATTATATTTTAAATGTTGCGATTTCTATCGTCATGGGGTTAAATTATATACCGACTATCTCCACACGTAGACCAATATGATGAATTTTGGCAGGAAGATTTCCTATCGTAATAAGAACCCTTAATATCAATTATACCCATTTCGATGAAAAATGTGTTAAAAATCCTTTAAACATCCTTTAGATCGATAAATCCCTAGACGTTCCCTCAAACTAAATAGGTATATGCATCTTTTTATATCCATTCTTTCGCAAGTTACAACGGTGATTACCACGGATGGTCCGTGTGACGAATTTTTAGGTTTTCGACTGTAAAAAGGTGTAAACGTCGAAAACGTATAAAATGTAAAAAATGCAGTAAATGTCATTTAGAATATATATTAGAATATATATTATTTTTACATATAACTGACTATTCCTTACTAGAACTGATAAACATTTCTAAACTTTTTTGAGAAGAAAATTTTGAAATTTTATATGGGTTTTGAGTAAAGCATACGTAATTTCCAAATTTATTAATGGAAACAGCTATTTTGTCTAAAACCTAATGGTTTTGGGGTAGGTTTCTGACGTATATATTATACGTCGGAAATGTATGTCATTTACCTCACTGTTTCTGACGGACCATCTCTGGTGATTACACAACCTAATGAACAATAGGCAGAGCACCCCTCGCCCGATATTGTTAATATAGATCCAATGGAAGTTTATGGTCGATAGTCCTAAATAACTCAAAGTAATTCTAAAGATCCCACTTTTGTTGTTATGCGAATAGAAAATTCCCAACTAAGGATCTAAACAATTCTCTACCGGACGAACATTATATCATGATGATTACTTGCTGTTACCTATTTGTTTAAAAATCCATACTAATTTTGTTTATATTGTAAATTTTTGTGTAATAATATAAAACAGACATTAACAAATTAAGATAGTATTTATATGTATTCAAAAATTTTGATTGCATGCTGCAAATAAAATATAGAAATTTGAGGTAAATTTTCCAATATCTGATTTATATCAACTAACATATTAACATCTTATGTTAAATGTGTGTGTGGATGTGTGTGTCCAATTGATATGCCCATGGGCATAGAGAGCATGCAATTAAATATATTTTGATCCCATTACCCTATATCATATTTCCCCACCCACAATAAAACCAACACCAACTATATATTTATGTATTACTTGTTTGTTTATGTATTGTTGTGAAATTTTTGGAAAAAAAAGGATTTCAAATATATATTTTTTCTATTTTTTTATTTTCTTTGCATTTTTGTTTGAATTTAGAAGTAAGCCGGAATATACAAGTTATACAACATATTTTCCGGTCACAAATGGCACTACGGTCATACAGCAGCAGCAACATCATAATTCTGGCCAAGCAAATCCTGGCAGTATGACAAACAGTAATAATAATAACAACAATAATAATAGTAATCCAATTCGTCGTCATACTGTTATTTCAACAACATTGTCCAATTATAATCAGCAAATGTTTTCACACCAACAACACCAACAACCCATGCCGAATAACACCATTACACCGGCACGTCGAGCATCGATTGCATGGGACAAACAAATTGCACCCTCATATAAACCGGTGAAAATTACATTAATCGGTGATCCTTTGAAACAGTGGAGTAGCAGTGGATGTGTGAATGTAACACAGCCAACAAATGAAGAAGAGAATGTTAAGAATTCGGTTAATAATAATAATGAACGGCAGCCGTCTCAAAATATGCATTACGAACAGACTGGAAAAAATTCCATAACCAATGGAAAATGCCAAACTGAGGGCTATCATCAAGGAAATACTCATAGTTGTAAACAGTTACAGGATATTGTTAAAGCCAATGAATTGTTGAGCCAGACAACAGCATCAGTGCCGCCAACTACTCAGCATCAACAAAAATACCAGCAACAGCATCAACATCAGCAACTTCATAATCATTCACAGCATCATCGTTATCAACATCATCATCAGCATCACAATAATCTTAAACCAACAGTTACTATAGTTTAACGAAGACAAAAACAATTATGATTATACTTAAACAACAACAAAACACCAACACTAATTATTGTTATTATTATTGAATAAACGCACACAATTATGAATCTATATATTTTCGCATAAAATCCAGATTACAGATTTTTCTAATACCTGTAACAACACAAACAAATACAACAAACAACAACAATAACAATGACAACACAAATAATAGCAACAACCTGTTAATTCGCCTTTAATGAAACGGCATACAAAAAATCCCGTTATGTACAATATAGTATATCCTGCCCAGAAGTCCTCTCCTCACGCCCATAACCAATTAATTCCACATAATATCTATATAATATTTTTAATTTTGAATTTCTCAGCTAAACAGAATGAAAGAGGAAAAAATAACAATAACAAAACATTGCTCGCCTTCATTGTAAAATTCAACAGCATACAATATTTTTCCACACATACATAATAGCTAAAAAAACAAAATGAGAAAATAAAATAAAAACCATACAAATTTGCATATAAAACAGAAACAAAAAAGAACAAACAAAAGTATTATCAAAATTAATATAAACTATTATATACCAAAAATATATACAGAGAGACATACATACCTACATACATGAACATAAAATTCTACTACTTAAGTATTACTAGATTGTAAACAGGGTATTCCACAATGTAATGGCTAAGGAAGGATGAACTCCATGTTTGTCCCTGAAACAATGAATGCTCACAAGAAAGATATTTGAATCTAAAATGCACACATTAAATATTTTAAGGACATTTTTCGAGATAATATTTACTTATTTGTATAAACTCCCTCATAATTTATCATTCCGTTTCCAACATTTTGAAAAAATCATCGAAAATCGAATCAAGTTTGGAGTCTTCCAATTGTCAGTATTTTTGACAGATTTCACAAATTTATTTCGGGGACACTTGGGGTCTATAACTGTTATTTCGATAAGGCCTATTTTTGATCACATCATTAATCCCAAAGTTAAGAGGAAAATTAATTTTTGGGAATCCATAAAATTAGAGCTGAAACGTATTTGGAATGTATGGGGAACATTTAATCACCATACCACAAAAAATGGGTTGAAAAACGCTTTCAAGAACCCCAAAATACCGAAAATTGGGAGGTACCCTTATATTGGGGCTATCCGAAAAAATGGATAGATTTGCTACCCAATAGGAACTCAAAGTACCAAATTACAGCCAATTCTATCCAAAAATGCGATCAATACTCCCAAAATACAGCAAATTTGAGGGAACTGTTATATAGGGGCTTCCAGGAAAAGTGGATCTATAATTATTTTTTTGTGGAGAAATTTAGTTTCCAATATGAACTCAAAGTACTAAATTACAGCCAATTCGATCGAATGGGAGCTATGCCTAAACTTGGACTGAAATAGAATATCTTCAAACTTTACAAAAGACGACCCTATGCAAAATTTTGGCGATTTATCTCAATTAGTTTAGATGCTGCAGTGATTGCAACAGGCAGACGTACATGATTAAAACGTCATAGAATTTTGCACTGATCAATAATTAAACATCAACCCCATTTGGAACTATTCTACAGCGAATCAGGCTGCGAAGTGTGGCTAAAACGTCCGAGGTAAGCAAAAGCGGGTCCAGTCTTTATATATCCCATACAAACAACATTTTCAAATATTCAATAACAATTAATTAAAAAAAACCAAAGAGCGGAGAAGTATAGTCGGGCGGGGCCGACCATACGATACCCTACACCACTTCCATGAACATCTAACTTTCTGTGGTACTACATTCTGAGTTTGGGCAATATTTCGCGATGTTTGCACCCTCTTGATCCACTAGAGGTCAACAAATATTACTAATATTCAGTACACTCCTTCTAATTACTTGTCCAGATTCCCTTCAACGTGGGTTGTTTTGTGATGTTCGGCTTTCAATTGTGGAATGTAGATTGACTCAAAAAAAAAAAAAATAAGTTTTCGGTCCACTTCATCCCAATATTATTATATGATCATCACCGAAAATGATAGGAGTTGTCCTTGACCATACCTAGATACCAATGGAAAATTTCAAAGCGATGAGCGCTATATTTCCGACCTCTAGTGTGGTAATGGGTTACTAAATAGTATCTGAGTACGTAAGCACCTGGAAATATTTAAGTGTAACTCCAACATCCGGGTACATGCGACAATAAAATTAGTATCAATTTAAAGGTCAACCACTCCTCTTGGAGTCTATGCCCTTCAGGATACAAATTTTGTCATTTTTCACACAAAAGTCAGGGTCCATTTGACCCGCTAAATATTGATCGATCTTTATCAAAACAGGCATGTTTATTCTTTGGCCCGATCCCCTTCTCCATCGCGGAGTTTGGGTCACATTTGTTGCCTCTGGAGCCTACTAAAATAAAGTTTTTGGTCATCCCCTAAATATTAACCTATCTTTTCCAAAGAGGTCTTCATTGGACAGAACCCATCCTACATGCAAAATTTCATGAAGATTGGTCCATAACTGTGGCCTATATCGTGTTTACAAATTATAATGGACAGACGAGATATGACGATCGGTATACTTAAAGGTGGGTCTAGGACCAATATTTCGCGCCGTTACAAACTTTTGGGGCTGCACAAAGCTATAATACACTGACAACATAGTTGTGTGGGATATAATTAGGGAGGATATGAAAATGTATTTTAGAATCTTTTTTGTGAACTGAATTTAGTTTTGAAATAGTCTGGAATACCCCACAATGTTTTAGAAGTAGTACTCAGTCGTATTGTAGCGTACATTATAATCTAAATGTGAACTACATACAAAGAAATGATAACAACAACGTTTATAATTTGAATATTTATGTGTATGTACGTATATTAAAGCTAAAATATTTATACAAAAAACAAAATTGACCGGATAGCTGAATGAAGGAGGAAAAAATGAAATAAAAAAAAATATGATAAGAAGAACAAATATGTGTATTGTAACACAGGCCAACTAATATTCGCACAATATTTAATTTGTTGACCTATGAACATTTATTTTATTACTATTGTTTTGTTATTATTAAGATAATGATTTTTTTGTAATTTTTCAATATTTTGTAATAAATTTCCCGTTTAAACATTTAATAGAAAGATTTTGTGGGATTCTAAAAATAGCTTATTTTTGATAAAGATAAAGGAATTTCCAATAAAAGGTGTGATTTTTTTGGTTTTAATGACAATGTAATTGATTGAAATGCATGATCAGATGTTTGGTTCATAATAAACATGAAGCTGCTACTTATAATAGAATGGATATACTATCAGTCAAAAATGTCAAGAAAATTTAAGCAACCAAATTGTAATGTTGTTGGTCGATAGCGTCACGAATTCTATATTTGAGGACTTGAATGGAAACTTTGTTTAATTCAAACACCTTGATAATTATTATCAATGTCTATAAAATCTATTTCATTTATTTTTCAACCTAATTTTTCTGTAAAATTTTTGTCCCCACTAGCCACTGATCTCATTATTAAAAACACAATATATGACTATAAATATTAACATTAAAGTATTTTTATTCATTATAAATTCCTTTTTATTTTCCAAATTTGGTATACCATTGTTGGCCTGTGTTCTTGATTCCTGCCCCCACTCTCATCATTGTCACCATAAAAAATATTTCTAATATTAATTAGTAAAATAAATAATAATTTAAATTATGCTTAACATAGATACAATAATGTTATCTCACTATACATATTTTAATTATTTATAAATATTTTATTGTATTTTTTAGCTACCTAAGTTGTATGTAAATCAAATTCTGTTGATAATTATTTTTATGTGTACTTAAATAAATGTTAAGTATATTAACTTTCCTTAATCACTAGTTTGGTTATCTTTTTTTGTAAAAATTCTCATATTCCAATTGCATAAAAAAAGCTAAGCTAAACAGGCAAATTATGTTAGTTTTCATTCAAACATATTTATAAATTTTTGAAATATATACAAAAATAAATATATACATACATATATATGTATAAATACAACAAAAATTAGACTTTTTATTTTTTAATTGTACCTTCGAATATTTACCGAACATCATCTAAACAACGGTTCTAAGTATTTGGTCAGATCCACTTACTGTGTAAAATATGTGATGTTCTGCATATAATGGCCACTAGACCGACTAGAAAATCTGACAAAAAAAAGCTTTCAGTTCATTGGACCCCCAAAATATCATTACATCTTCGAAAATTATAGACATCGTGCTTGACCACAACCGGAACATCTGGTAAAATTTCAAACCGATCTGCGTGACATTTCCGCCCTCTAGTGGAGTAGTAACACTAAAAAATATCGTAACAAATCGACACCAAAGTAGGGGAGACTGGGTCAACTTCTGCAATGGCGTTTTCGATATGAAACCCTCATTGTACATCACTAGCTTTGATCCATCGATTGATAGAAAACTAGTAAGGAAAGCAGTAAAGTCGGACTGGGCCGACTATATGATACTCTTCACCACTTTGAGTATATTCTTCATATGTATCGTAATAGATGTCGTCTCTTCGAACATTGACATGAAATTGAACGAACTTAAATATGCGATCATTATCTATTATTAAACCGACTAACTTCAATTCCAACACATGCCATTCTGCAACCTATTCCATATTTTTTAAATTGTGTGGCGGTCGGCCAAACTTTGGGTCTTTAGTGCACAATTTACATTAAATCGGAAGAAAAGACATATGGGAGCTCTATCTAAATCTAAAACGATTTTCACGAAACTTAGCACACATCATCCTAGACTTAATTCAGCATGCTTTGCCAAATTTGGTGCAAGTCGAAAGAAATATGGGAGCTTTGGTACACTATTTACATAAAATCAGACAAAAATATATATGGGAGCAATATCTAAATCTGAACCGATTTTTATGAAACTTAGAACACACCATTCTACACATAATTTGGTACGCTATGCATATTTCGTAATACTCGAAAGATATATAGGGACTTTGCTAC